AGTTGTTTTGGATGGTTCCCTCCCCTCTGTCCCTTCCGCCACGGTGAGGAGGCCAGTTTTCCCAGGATCTGACTTGCTGCGCAAGTGAATCACATCCAGTCCTCCCAGATCCTCCTGCAGCAGTGGGGCCACGTTATCATACTGGGACATCACCGGCCCCTTCACCTTCTGGCGCGTGCGGCTCTCCCGGCGAATAGACTGCATGCGGTACTTCTCCATGTCCTCCAGGTCCCAGGACATGTACATGTGCTTGATGTCTGGGGCGGGAGGCACGTCTCTGCTGATGAAGCTGTGCTCTTTGCCTGCAAGGTGGCCGATGAGGCCACCCCGAGGGTAGGCTGACAAACTGGGGTAGCGGTACAAGCCCTTGCTCTGCAGCCGGGAGGCATAGGAGGCAAAGTCTCGGCTGGGCAGGGGATGGAAAGGCCGGACCCGCACGGTGCTGTAGGGATCCAGGTCATAAAAGCTCCCATCAGCAGTGGTGTAGTAAGAGGATGCAGAAGAGCTGGAGTAAGGACTGTACCGGTAATGTACCCGCCCGTTCTCAAAGTAAGGCTGCAGCTGAGTTACATGGTAGTCGGAGTGGGGCTGATATGGCTTGTACTGATAGAGGGGCCGTGGGCAGTACACCGGCTCGTCATCCGGAGGGACCTCGGTCCGTGAAATGGGAACGGAGCGGATAGCAGAGGCAGCAGGGGTGGGCACGTGCAGCGACTGGACCCTCCGGATTGTGGGGTAGGGTGGAGCATCCTCGGCATAGCCGGCGCTGCGCAGGCCCGTTGGGCTCACGGAGGACACAAACTCTCTGCGAGGCTTGGAGTGCAGAGCAGAGGTGCTCTTCCCTTGGGTGCTGTAGGTGTTGTAGCGAGTGCCCGCGGAAGCGGGTGTCTCGGAGCGAGGAGGGTAGGCTTGGTGCTGCTCAGGCTTGCTGTGGTAGACGTGTGGAGGAACGCTCTCAGGCCTGTACTGGTGGACAGAAGCTGGCTTGTGGTGCAGGTAGCTGTCTGGACCAGAGGGCTCCGGGATGCTCTCTGGCTTGGGATGCGGCACGTACACGGTCTGCAGGGAAGAGTGCTTGGGAGGAGGGGGGGGTGGTGGTGGCGGCAGCAGGGCTTCCTC